GGCGGAGGCGCGGCCGGAGCAGCGGGGCCGGGCACCGGGTACCGGGCAGAGCCCCGGGCACCGCCACCACCGAGGTAGGGCCGGGGCCAAGGGGGTGCCGGGGTCCGCGCCCCGCGGAACGGGGATGCCGGGGTCCGCGGAACCGGGATGCCGTGTCGCTGCGGGCAGGGATGCGGCCGCTGGAAGCGGGAAGAGGGTCCCCTCCCGCCCCGTCGAGGGAGGGGGGGTGGAGTTGGGAGCCGCCGCCGTCGGGGGGTTCGGGGTTGGGGAGGGGGGGGTCAGAGAAGCATTTGGGCTTGCAACCGGGAAAAGAGCGCTTCTCGCCGCGTCCCGGGCGGGGGAGATGGAGCAGTTGGGGGCAGACTCATCTCTGGTCCTGCTGATGCTCCTGGTTGTAGGAAAACAAGCTCATCGGGGAGGGGGGCAGGTAGGGGCTGAGCACCCCCCGGGCCGCCCTCAGCACCCCCCTTCCCTTCCCCAATCCGTGCATGTGATGTGAGTTTTCTCCGTGCTTTTCACAGAGATACCTGCTGTGCCCAAGAAGGCTGGCGAATGGGAAAAGAGTTTGGGAAGAAGCATGAGGTGACCGTGAACTTCCAGAAATCCTGAAGACTTGCAGGGACAGGTCAGTGAATCCTTAGAATGAAAGGAAGCCAGCCCTTGAGAAAAGGAAGTTTTCGTTGCACCTAATTGTAGGCTGCGCTGGGATTTGCTGCCAGGTCAGGCTGTGGGTCCCCTCCAGCTGCAGCCCGAGCAGGCTGTCTTCTTAAAAGTGGTACCTAAATGTCAAAATGTGGATATTCCATTGATTACTGCCTTTGACAGTTCTGGAGACTTCGGTGATAAAACGCCTTAGTTGTTTATAGTAAACATAAACTAAAGGACTAATTTGTCTTCCCGTGGGTGACAGCTTTAGGAGAAAGAGAAAAGCACAAGAATAAACTAATGCTTTTACACTGCTGACGGCCAGACTTGGCAAGACCTTTGATTTTCTTGCTTATGTTTTCTTTAAAAAAGAAAACTGGAAAGGAAACGTTTCAGGAACGGCTTTCCTGGTCCTCGTGTAGAGACAGAGAAAGTGGCCAGACTCAAAGCATATCCCGTTCTGGCACCGTTCTAGTTCTAGATGTGAGCTCAAGAAAGCAGGGTTTGTGTGTGTAACGTGAGAGTAACTAGAAACGTATAGAAATAGAAGATGAGTAAGAACTTCAAAAGTACCCAAATGACTTGGGCATTGAAGTCATGCAGGCACTCCTGAAAAACGTGTACCAGCCTTTAAACCCTTTCTGTTATTTGCCCTACCTGCAATTTTCTTTTCTTTTTTTTTTTTTCCTTTTTTTCTTTCTGTTTTTTTTTTTTTTTAAATGTGTGATGCCACCTGGACTTTCTTGCATCATCCCTAGCTACTGCCCTTCCACTGGCAGGGGAGTGGCTGTGGTGGCGGAGCCAGGAATGCCAGATTCCCAGCCCTTTGCTCCATTCCAGGCAGTGCCTTCAACTCTGGAACTTATTACCACAAAACATCGTGGAAGCCAAGAGTGCCTGGCTTAGGGGATTTGAAAGAAGGATTAGAAATTTGATATGGATAACAAGAATCTCCAGAATTAATAGCAAATTAAATGAGAGCTTTACAAGGGATATAAATCCCTGTATTTCGGGGCATAAACCAATCTTAGGATTTAGTAGGAAACTTCTCCTTGTAGGGAGATCTTTCTTGTGCTGTCTGCTGGGAGGGGATATTCCCCTGCAGCTTGGGGCGTACGTGGCCCGTGTGGTGTCACCTCTGAGAGCATCTTGCCTTTGTGAAGAGGTTCCAGTTAAATTACCTGAACCTTGAGGTGTTCCCCAACGTTGAGCTGTTGTGAGAAGGCCCAAACCAAGGCTTTGTGTGGAAGCTGCCTAGAGATAGAACAGTAATTTTATCTGTGAGCAAAGCAGTAGTTTTACAGACTGATTATCATCGCTATAATATAATAGAATAACAGTAGATATAGGACTGTGCTCCTGACAAACCCCACCGGCAGCATCTTTTTGAAGGTGCACAGTCCATTTTTGTTGGCAGCGAGGTGTGCTGGACCCGTGGTGTGAGGTGTGCTGGACCCGTGGTGTGAGATGCTGCCATCACTGCACTCATCGCTGGGTTAGAAAATACAGCCTTTGTTCTGCTTTAGTTGTGCCAGAGGCCCTACAAAATATGGATGTCTAGCGTAAAGTCTTCCCAACTGTTTCCTCAAGCTGTTTATTTCACTGGAGCACTCAAGTGACGGTGTTTGGAGGGGGGTGGTGGTGGTTTTGGTTTGTCCCCCTGAGTTACACATCTCTATTCTTTGGCTAAAGCCTCTGTATGGAGCTCAGGGCAATGGCTGGAGTCTCGTGCCTGTTGGCCTTGTGAGAGCAAATTCTTAAAAATAATAAAAATCCGCCATAACTGCCCAGTTTTGTAATGAAGTTGTTAGTAGAAACTTTATTTGGAGTATGGACCAAAAAAGCTGGTCCTAAAAGCATCATATCCACTGTGTGACGAAGTGACAGAGCAAAATCTGCTCTTCCAACATAACTCCTCGCGTGGCTTTTCACAAAGCCTCTTTGGAAGCCTTACCCTGTCTGCAGGCTGCCAGCACCCTCCGAAAATCCTAACCCAGAGCCTTTTGTGTTGGATCCACAAGAAGCTCTGAGGGTTTGCAAATTACTTCTGAGGAATGTACGAAAAGCAGAGGAGAACAAACAGGGATGCTCTGTAGAAGTAGTCTCCATACGTGGTATTTCTGATCTACTCAATTATATTAGTCTCGGTCTCAGGCTTCCATAGTTCTGCTGAGAAAGAACAGCATGAAAAGTTACGCCGGTGGCGGTTTCCTGACTAGTCCCTTTCCAAGGAGCCCTGCAGATGGTGATGTGGCAGAGAACTTCAGAGAACCTCAGAATAGAGCAGGGTTTGTGTGTTCTTCCCTGGCCATGGCCAGCGCTTGGTTTGATTCAGGCTGCCTGTGGGGCTGTCGGGTCTGGTACCGGGCTAGTCCAGCGCTGGGAGCTTGCTGAAATGGTAAGAAAAACCACGTAGCAGACATGGCAAAGCAATTTGCTGATCTTTTTCTTGCTGGCTATGTATTTTTGGGCAATTTAAGCATGTCATACACTGCAATGGATACTGCATTAATGCAGTCCCCTGACTTAGCCTCTCCAGAGGTTTATGCCACTTCTGTCACAGTGGGATTGTAGAGCGTCTCAGAGGAGCTTTAAGTGGTGTGAGTAACGTCTGCTTGTGTTTATCCTCCACCTTTCTCTGTGTTGGAGCAGTTCATCCAAGGAGTGGCTTGTTTTGGTAGTTGAGTGTTTTGGGTTTTCTTTAATGTGCCTGTTGCTATCTTCTTATCTTGGCTATGGCAGCATCAAAGCGAAACACTTGACCCCTTGGGTGAAAGTTGTGGAGGTTTGGGATGGATTGAAGGCTACAAGGGAGCAGAGGCAAAAGGACCCGAGGGATGGGAGGAGAGCAGCAGCTGGTAGTGGTGACCAGGCAGTAATAGCTGTAAAGCCTTGGAGCTCAGGAGAAGTAAGTGACAGATGGTATGGAGAAGGGTATGCAGAAACCAAAATGAGTTATATCTGGTGAATCTCCTCTGTCTCTGCTGTTGCAGATGATTCCATCATATGATGGTGCCCTGTGGCCTCTGCAGGATGTGGGGGGCAGTCAGCAGAAGACCTTCAGCCGTGCAGTTCAACTCACGATGGGGGCTGTGGGATGAGTGGAGTGAGTGAGTCATGAGAAGCTTGTGAGCAACCATCAACTGTTTGCGATGTTGACTTGATTTCTGCACGCTTAATATCAGCCATCAAAACTGTCCACATGAAAACAGGAACCCTAGGGCTCAGCTAAGACAGGGGACAGAGATCTCACGGAGGAATCCTTGCTTTTAAAAAAGGGGGAAACTTTAAAGTAGTCTCTGCAAGGGTGTCAAGTGATAGATGTGCTTGGAGAAGATTATTTTTGTGGTTCTGTGTCCTGATGCTTGTGTTGTTTGGTTATCTAAGGCTGACAACATGTTGAATCCACGTATCCCTTGAAACCTGTTCTATTTCTTGTGCTGCTGTAAGAAGCTGATTACAGATCTTGTGTTACAGAACTGCCAAAGTTGCTGATGTGTCCTACCAACTGAGCTATGGAGCTGCTTGTTCAAAAAACATAACCAAGTAGAACTATAAAGTCACCATTTTGTTATTATTATTTGTATGCATGCTGTTCCTTGGAGGTCCTCAAATTTTTGCCCTTCCTCCTTGTTTTCATATCCTAAAACGTCAGTTCCTCTTGCAGTTCAAAAATATTTGTTTAACATTTTGCCAGCCTGCATAAGAGGAGAAACAGACCCCCATGAATATTGTCTGGCAAAATAAGAACTGTGATGTAGGAATGTGGTCCCAATGGCTTCTTTGTCTCTGTGCTGGAGGGTGGCTGGAACACACACAGCAATAAGCAGGTGCTTGATTTGCAGCTCTGAACCATTTTTCTTTCTCCATGATACTGTACATGTACTAAAAGAAGCTGCTGCTGGTCTAGATCTTGAGGACCCGGCCCCGTCTGACATCCAGGGAAACCTTGTTTGAGTAACGCATGGAATCAGCTCCCATGATTTCAGAAAGAACCAGCTTCTGGTGACTTGTAGATGAATTCTCATAATCGCCAGGTTTTGAATACTCAGAAGGTGTAAGGATGGCCTCTGGCAAAATAATGAGGTTTATTTGAAAAAAGAAACTTAAAACGATGATGGGCGCTGGGTTTGGTTTGTGAGGTCTCAGGTTTTTCTCTTCAATCAAGGGAGGAGATTTTTTTTTTCCACCTTCATTTTGTTGGAAGCTGAAGTTCTCTGTGGTGGTTTGTTTCCAGGAGCTAGGACTTCAAGAAAAATGCAAATATAATGACTGCAATGGCTCAAATCCGTGCAAGTTGTCAGCACTCAAAAGCCATTAATGCTCTTGCAGAGCAGGGTAGAGCCAACCTCAGGCACGAAGTTGCGGATAGCATCTAAATCTTGCTTTAGATTTATGGGTTAAGGCTTCCAGTGAAACGGTGTGTGCAATAAAATCCACAGATCACGCTTTCTTTACCAAACATTAGGAGTGATTCCTGCTGGGATCTGAGTTGCTGTGTCAAAGAAGCTGAGGTGGTGATCAAACCTCAAATCTAATGCGATTCTGCCATCTCCTCCCAGTCCATGCTTCTGATTTAGGAGCAATGGGCACAATGGGCTCTTCGGTCAGGTTCTCAGTGGATGTAGGGGCACTCACTCCATTCTCTGTCCTCCCTGCAGACACCAAAAGCCTCTGGAACCTGTGTATGAGTTCCCTGCTGGTGATTTTATGCTTTTTTTCCCCATCAGCAATGCTCCGTCTGGAAATGCTGGGCTGGAGAAGCATCTTCTGCTGATCCAGAGTGTTACTCTGCTCCCTTTCCCCCTGCCCGGGGCTGTGTTGCCTCTTGTGTTGGGAGAGGGCACCCAAAGCCTTTTGATGATCTATAAGACCTGAGGTGCTGCCGCTGTTGCTTTCCCTGCATGATCATAGAATGGTTAGAGTTGGAAGAGACCTTAAAGTTCCAACTATTGTCCCCTGGGCAGGGACACCTCCCAC